GAATAGGAAAAGGTTTGAAATACTCCTGGTGCTAGGAAAGAAAACATAAAAAAGAATTTTTTTCTAAGGAAGACATGGAGGTATGAAATATAATGATTATAACATCAAGAAAAATCTCAATTGAAAAGCGTTGAGAGATAAAGCTGTTGGCAGGGATCTTCTTCAGCTTCTTGTAGAGTAGTGCATACAAATAAAATTGATTTATATTGATTTTGAAATTTATGAATGAATGAAAAAAATATATTATTCTTGGACTACAGTCCCTTAATTTATATATTATCTATTTCACGCTCAAAGATTATTTGTTAAGTTGTCTGTGCTGTAAAAGTTATCTATTTATTTATCTACGTGTATCGCATGTAATTATACAAAAATAATCAAATGTAGTAAATACCTAGAGAGAAAAAAGATACCTTGTTTACAAGTAGTGCTGCCCTTATACATAGGGTTACTTTATACACAACATACATATAAATCTTTTTATATAAATGTTGTAAATCACATTATCTTGTTTCGTACAGATCTTGTTTCGTAAATGGAAATTCACAACACATGTTGGGGAAGTCATGACCTGATCCAGGTGCAGTGCATGGTGCCTGGTGCCTTGCATGAAGGATACATGACTCCATAGTTGCACCATACCTGATACATTCAGACAAATAAATATATTTACAGACACAGTCGTACCGGGGTGAAGGTCTCCTGAAGGACGCTCTCTCCCGGATCTAGGCCGCTTTCCTCTTCGCTCACTTTCTTCCGTTTCACATCCGCCAGTGCGGCCGGTTGCGGAGGCAGCTTTTACTGGTGCTGATGTGAAGGTGTTGCGGAGGATCTGAAGTGTGGGCTGGCAGCAGTGAGAGATTGTGCGGCGCCTACCTTCCAACTCGGTTCAGGATTTGCTCATTATGCAACCGTCGAATATTGATTATTAAGTAAAAATAAATTGTTATATGCTTTGTTATTTCAAAAAGTGGTTTAAAAATAATAATGTAAAAGGACTAGAAACTCATCCTCCCTCCCCTCCCCCGGAGTCCCTTCAAAGCCCAAGTTTACCTTGATAGCCTCAACACCATCATCATCCATGTCTTTTTCAACCTGCAGAACATCCACCGGAAGTCTTCACACTAATTAACTAAAGGATTCTTTTAGTATCGATTCAAAACAATACGTTACTTGTTCGAACAAGTTCATTATTGTTTACATTCAAAATAGAAATAATAAATGATAGAAAGTAATTTGAACATAATTATTTAAAGTAAACTGAGAAATAAAAGCATTGAAATTATATCCCAGCATTGGTGGCACCTTAACATTTTCTCTAATCCGTTCGTTTCGGATGCAATCCCTTCTAGTTCGGCCAGCTACTCTTCTCAGATATTTCATTTCGGCAGAGGTAAGTCTACTTTTGTGCCTATCTAGAGGGACCTAGCTCTCACTACCGTACAGTAGGGTTGGAAGGTAGAGTGTATAGTATATATCGATCTTAGTTATATTTTCCACCTCTCGTTTTCCTAAGACTGTGTTGCAGATCTGGTAATAGATGCCATTTGCTTTTTTGATCCTGTTTGATATCTCTTGGTCTATTTTTCCATTTCTACCAACAAGAGGTATGTTCCTGTACCAACTCCAGATTCTTACCCCTACAGTTTATTTGTATGTCTTCGATTTCTCGACCTATCTGCATAATCTTACTTTTTTCTTCGTTTATGATCATGCCTTTTCTCTCAAGCTCAGCTTCCCATTCCACAATCGCTTGCTGCAATTTTGCGGATGAATCTGTTATGAGGGCAATGCTGGAAACCGTGGTAAAGAAAACGCTCAAATGGTTCGGCCATGTTATGAGGATGGACGAGGACAGAGAACCCAGACAACTTTTTAAAGGCAAGACCCACAGAAATGAGACCAAGAGGACGTCCACGGAAAACTTGGATTGACGAAGTGACCAAGCTCGGACTGAAAAGAGGCGAACAGTTGGGTCATAGGAGAGACATGGCGAGAGACCGTGATGACTGGCGTAAATGGGTGGAGACCACTCCACGCTGAAAAGCACTAAGGAGGAAGACGAAGAAGAAGAAAAAAAAATATATGAACGTCTATCCAGACCCGATTAATCGAACGCAAAAACCGATAGAGTTGCTAATTTAATCGTTGAAGAGACGCTCTAAATCCCTTTGATAGCTTCTATCGATGTAAACTCGGATAAAAGAAATGGCTAGGTAGGGTGAAAAAAAAGTTTTTATCGAGTCATAAATGTCATATTTCACCATCTTTTGTTTCGATTTTATTTAGCGGTAGCAAGGCCTGCAATGTCACTTAATCTTTCTTCTGAATTCTCCAGTGGATGTCTCTTAAGGTGTACTTTAGTTCTTCTTAGAGAAGCTTTGGTTCTTATCTCCATTGTTGTTCTAAATCTCTCTGTGCAAAATCTATTTCAACCTACAAATAAGTTCCAAATCTTGAGTAACAGATACTCTTTCAAGTAAAATTGAGGTTTGCATCTCGAGTTTTGAGGGTCCCTGGTAAGAATTTAGAGTCCGATTTCGGCAACAACAAATAAATTCAATATAGCGATGAACACTTTTAATCAACCCGTGAGAATTTTGGTTCTCTGGCGTATTTTAAAATTTTCAATGGTAGCTCCAATATGATGACCAAATATTTTAAAATCGTTTGAAATTAGCTGTTCGAAATTCAATTCTGAGTTCAAATTCCTTAAGTAATTGGCTCTCCATTGATTTGGGTTTATTGACACTAAGATGAAGACAGGAATGTTTTCTCATCTCTCATTTTTTAATGGTAGATTGTGCTAATGTATACTTTATTCTTAATTTTCAAATTTTAACTCAGAGTTTTTAATTAGTAAACTAATCATGTGGTTTATTTATTTACTTATTGGAATTATTTTTTTCTCGACCATTTTCAATTAATTATAAAGCTTTAGGAATCCGGTTCTGTTGTATTTTCCAAAAAAAAACTTGGTTGACTAAAAAAAAAGTATCGTGACCTTTAGATTCGATTAGAAATGGCATATATCTACATCAATCACAACGAGTTTCTCCAAATCCTCAGTAGTCAAGCAATTTATTATCAGAAGATGGTAGGTCATCAGTACTTTGGGCCTTCCATAACCTAAACTTAGTTCATCTGCGTCTGTAAAATTATAGCGTGATACTAGAAACACCTAGCCTGCTGCAGGTCCATATTCTGACTGTAAAATCTAATATTTTACCCAAATAAATTAAAAGCAATCAGTTTTGTTCGGCTTTGTTATTATAATGAAATGTACAGCTAACAAATGAATCTCTCCAGGGCCGTCGCGTCAAATTTTAGTACCCACGGCGAAATTATATCAAGCGCCCTCCTCACATCCCTCTAACTCAGCCACTGCTATTGGTTTGGCAAATAAATCCTTTCGGTTTTCCTTTTTCTGTTTTAATGTTACTATGATACACTTCTTATATGATAAATAAATCCCTAAGGTGGAATATTTATCCTGTTTGTAATATATCAACAATCTGTTAACTCTTGTTGAAACTAGCTTAGTATTGTGTTTGCTATTGCACTGTGAACACGGAAGAAAACATCATTCATTATCGGCCTATTTCAAAAAAGTAAGCATGTTACAGAAGCTCATCGAAAAATTTTCAGTGTTTATGGGAATGATGTCTTAACCGAACGCACTTGTCAAAATTGGTTTGCCAAATTTCATGCAGGAAATTTTTACATCAATGATGATCAATGGTCTGATCGCCCACATGAAATTGAAACGAGTAATGTCAAGGCCATTGTTGATCAAAATCCCACCCAATCAGTACGAGAGATAGCTATGGCCCTGAATGTGTCGCTCACAAGCTTAGAAAACCATTTGCACAAGCTCGGCTATGTTTCCAAGCCTAATGTTTGGGTCTCTTACTCTCCAACCAAAGTCAACTTAGCAACAAGCATTTCTGTTTGTTCACCACGGTAACGGTAACAAAACGAAGCATTTTTGAAAAGTTTAGTAACAGAAGATGAAAAATGGATCAACCAATGAAAAATAAACGCCCAGAACTGGCAAATCGAAAGGGTGTTGTGTTCCACCAAGACAAAGCTAGGCCCCTCACCTCATAGCAGTCACTAGCAAAAAATTATTGAGCCTTGGATGGGACATTTTACTCCACCCTCGATATTCACCAGGCCTAGCCAAGTGACTACCACTTATTCCGGTCTCTACAGAACTCCATGAATGGAAAGAAATTCCAAAAGGAAGAGGACATCAAAAACTACTAAAATCAGATATTGTATGAACATAGCATTATGCAGTTAATTTAAAGATGGGAAAAAGTCATATTAAATAATGGTCAAAATATTGTAGATTAAAATAAATTTTTATTTCTGTAATACATTGAGTTCTATTTCTTCTTGAAAAACCGAACAACCGACTTATTTGGCAAACCAAAACATCTGTGAGGTTGACTATCAAAACAAATGAATTTTATTTGTACGAATGATATCATTAAGGTAACCAATGAATTGATTTGCAAGCCCCTGTAAGTCTTTCTTTCAATACAGAGGTCCTAACAGTCGTAAAAAATGTTGGCCTATATTTTGACAAATAAGCTTATTATAGAGGGAGGGGAATTATATAGTTTATTACTATATAAAGAAAATGTACTAATTTTAGTTAAAACCTCATATTTTCAGTAATAAAGATTATCAAAATGTGCTAACTAAAAAATATATATGATAAACTGAAAAGCTCCACCCATTTAATTAATAAATGTTAATTATTACTAATAATTCCAAATGTTATGTTATAAAGTGTAATAAATAAATTATAGAACAATTATTAACTAAGAAACAGCTGAAAGCTAAGAGACTAACACTAAGGTTGGACAAATTTCTTTGTAATTTAAAAAAATGTTTTAATGCTGTACTTTGAGATTGGCCGAAGCGATTGAAGAAAACTGTACTCATTCGCAAAAGTGGATAGTGACCTGGAATCCAAGTGACTCGGAAGAATGTTGGGAATCCAGTGGGATCATTGTGATACTTCTGAAGGAGCTGCAGTGGGGCTCTTTTCAAAATCGATTCTTCCTGCAGTCCCAAACGAATTTCTCGCTAGTCCACGAATTCTACGTATTACTGGCAGTAGTGCCGGCCTTAGACATTTGGCGCCTCCGGGTAATGACCATCCCCTAAAAAAATAATTTATTTCTCTAGCTATTTTACATTGTGTTATATTCGAATTTTATTTCATTCGATTTCCCTCTAATACAGCTGCTTCATCAATAGACTAATATTAAATATTTTAATATATGTATATGTATATATGTATATACTTTTTTATTTTAATTTTTTGCAAATGATGAGTGCCCCAGATGATTGATGCCTCTCTTGGTCGGCACCTCTGGACTATTGCCCCGCCCTAAAGATGGACTGCTAAAACAAGAAATAGTATTATTTATAAAAATCATAAATTACTTACCATGAAATCTGAATTTTTGCAGCATTGACGAACTAGCTCAATAATTTTTTCTAAGTTAATTTAATTTAATTTTATTTATCTTTAGGTATATAAAATAAAATATCAAAATTTAATATCTCTAATATAAATGAAGAAAAAAATCTTTATGCAATTGATCGTGAGAATAGTTTAAAAAAATCCGTGTTCTTCAGAAAATAATGAAGGTAAAAATCAAATCAAAACGCACGGTCAATCCTATAAATAAAATATACAAAATAAAAATATGTTTTATGATCAAATAAGTGTTTAATATTAGAACATGATGATGGTATGATTGTGAAGGCACCGCACATGATGGCCAATGCCCCCACATCCTCTAATGGCTACAGCATGCCTCGCTGTAAAATTTAAATACATAATGACCGCGATGAGGTCGGCCGTGCCCAGTTCGGTCATTGCCTGAAAAATGTTTTGAACGGGCGTGCATTTCTCGAATTTCTTATTGTGACCACTTTCCGGATGTTCATGGTTGTTATAACTTCATTCAATGAAATATGATTTCTTGAAAATAAATCATCAATCGAAAATTTACGATTCATTTTTAAAAAAATAGAATAATTTCCCCCCTGTTCAGTTGTAATTCAATCAACTTTTAATTATTCTACCTCTGTAAATTTATTTAAAGTTTAAAAACACTAACAAATTCAAAGAAATTTTATAACCCTCCTTCTTTAAAACAGTGCAAACGAAAAACGAATTGGAAACGTTGTAGACATCTTATACAATTACTGTGGGGTGTCTTTCATGTATCTTCTTTTCCCCTACCTCGCCTTTTCTGCTATACGAGTTGTCGTACTATAAAATTAATTTATATCCGTCTAAAACATCGAGAAAATTTCATCTCATCCTAACATAAAACTTTTTAATTTACGAAAATTCTGGGAATTGGACCGTTTTCAATCAGGAGATCGGCTAATTTTATTTAATTAATTAGGTATTAAAACTCATGAACAACCATTTGCTTTCCACTATAATCGAAAAAGAATGTCCAGAATAAAAGTGGCTTACAAAAATATTGGGCTGTTTGAAGTGACCTCCACCGCCAACATGTCAAAATAACGAGGTTATATAGTTCAAAGAGCCCAATATTTTGTAGGAATAATTTTTTTTCTAATTTGTTATCACATTATCTGATGATTCAAGTATGAAGCGAATGGGTATTTGTGAGTTTTTTGCACCTAATTAAATTAATTAATTTAATGAGAAAACGTCCCATTTCTGTGAACTTTAGTAAATACAAATTTGTATATTACGATAAGATGAAACCATTCACGAAGATTTAGGCGGGTGTTAATAATTTGATAAGGAGGAAGAGTGGAGGTTTAAGGCCGGAGTTAAAAGCCCCAGACACCAGTACTCAAACTCATAATTTTCAATTTATTAGGTTGGAAAACGCGTATGACTACGCGTTGGCCCTCTCGACCTCCCCCGCCCATAATTTTCTTCTTGTTCACTGTATTGAAAATTCTGCTCAACTGAACAGTATATAAATATGGTTTCTTCCAAAAATGTATGACCTCACTTGATTTCAATATTCTTGATATTAATGTATTAGGGTCTCCCGTAAGTTTCTTCCCTTTTCTTTATTTCTTCTTTAATGTTAATTTACTGTGTTATATATGAACCGTCCTGCTCCTATTTCCTATTTTCATCTCTTAGGAACCTCATTATTCCCTCTTGTAAAAAGTTGTTGAGAGTTGTAAAATAATTCGGATTTGTGATATTTACTTCACTTTACTTCAAGGGCGGAACTGCGGGGGGGAGGGAGGCTTTCGGGCTGAAGCCCTCCCCCTCTCCCTCCCAAAAAAATGGTAAAATATAGGCATGTTTTATGGATATAAATATTAAAAAATTATCTCATAAAGTATTATTATTCGTGTAATTACATTTAAAAGGACTTTAGGAATCACTTAAACAGTATTTCATATAGGTAGTTAGTTTCTTTCTTTTTTTCCAAAGTAATTATCGTTATTTTTAAGAAAAAAAAAACTTTCAGGCTGAAGCCCTCCCCCCAAAATTAAATCCTGGATCCGCTAGTGCTTTATTTCTATGGACTTCCATCTAGAACTTAAAAATTAACGGAGTATAAAAATCGAGATTTAAAATCTTCTTCGCCCTTTAGAGCAAGACATTGAACACTTTAAAGTTGTTTCCACAGAAGATACCAATTTGGATTAAGACACTCATATAGCTAAGGAATGATATTTCAGTACAATATTATCATCGAGAAAAAAAATCAACTGTCCTTTGACATTTTATCATTGTCGATTCTGAATTTTCCCACCATTATTTATTTAGATTAAATTATTCATATATGTGAGAAACACGCGATTTCTCATGAGTCTTTATTGTGAGGATTTGAATCAATGACTTATGACTATTATTGTTAGTTATTAGTTATTTTTTACTATACAAATCGCGAGTCCTAACACACTGAAAGGTTTGATGTCGATATTACTGACAGTATTTTCCTAGATACGCCTCTATGGCGAACTGCACATCAGTCTCATTGCAATCCTCACAGCTACGTCTAAGTCTACCTTTCGGTAGCCCTCTTTGTTACCCATTTTCTCGGCGTTAAATACCTTTGTCGTTACCTGTTGTACTCCGGTATTAGTCTAACTATCGACTCTAGTAGTAAGGAAAATAAATTCCACCGAACACCTATAAATATAGAGGACACTATTTTAGATCTTTTTATACATTTTTAATCATTTTTTTCTATTTCAATTCATTTATTTATTTTATTAAAATTTATTTATTTATCTATTTGATCTTATTATTATGACCTTTAAGTGCATTTATTATTTATTTTATTGATCTTTGTTTTATCCTTTTTTTTTTTTTGTTTCTTTATTTCTATTTTTGTACCTACCACCTAAAATATTGCGTATGTGCGAAAATATTTTATTTTTCCATATTAGACTTAAAATTTGATGAGTAGATGTCTCTATGGAAGTTTCGTTCATTTCCCCAGCGGTTGACGTGAGTTCCGTCACAGAAGCTCACTAATTAGAGAAAGCACTTCCTCCAGGTGTCCTGGCTAAGATGTTTATGTAATCCGGGATTCCCGACCCATCCGTCCGATCTGGAGCTTGTGTTATGTGACGTAGCTGAAGTTGATAACCCAAGAAAGGTTGAATAATATCATTAAATGCTTATAAATCTGAGGTGACTTGTTAATTTTTATTTTCTTTCTGCTGAAGAAAGCCAAATTATATTTTTACGGCGTCTAAAACTACAATTATTTTTTCTCGATAATGTATTGAATGATAATACAATCTGCTTCATTGTAGGAAAATAATAATTAGGACTGCAAGAGTTCATTCGCACAATACATATAAAAACAAGAAAATAAATATAGTGCATGAAAGCCTTCAGTGCTCGAACCACTGTCACGCCCTGATGATGACCCACATGTTTGTGTTGAAACGTAGGAACAAATAAACAAATTTTTATAATGACTGCTTTCTGAATATTTATCACCCATGAAAATAAATATAAAATATATATATAAATAAATAAAAGTAATCTTCTTATATACATTCATACCTGTATACAATATTTAACTCCAAGGCAAGATCTGTCCTCCACATGTGAGATACAAAGGAAAACTCAGAAGTTCTCAGTGCTTCTCTTCCAGCCGCGTCATAGGTATTAGAAGCCAGTGGAAACGAGAAGGGACACTGGAGCCGCAGACGTTCAGGACTTATGTGGAGACGTTGGCCATTGCCAGGACTCCAAAAGATCACAGGGCCACTGCCGCTTTAATCTTCGAGGAAGATTATAGGGATAGTGGGAGCTGGATAGAGATTGAGCTAAAGGATTAGATTGATGAATAAGGTTCTGGTGGGCTTGCAGGAATTTTTCTGACGTATTCTCTGTGTCTCGTAAAAGGCAACTAAAAGAGAAGCCTCCCCCCTCTTTCCTCTGGGAAGAGGTACCATCTTATAGCCTGAATGGGATGACAAGAAAGCCCGTCTCAAGTCAGTAGGGGCTGCAATACCATCTCAGGCCCTGAAGCAAGAGGGGAGCCTTGCTTGCAGCTCGAATAACGATTAACTTCAGCAAGACTGGTCCTCCAGGTTGGGGGTTGTGCGTTGGGCTAGAACGACTTAACGCCCGTGACTCAGAACTTGGAACGTTTTGTCATTATATCAACCTGGAGCACTTTACCTGCTCTTAATCCAGCTTAACAACTTCGTGGTGGACCTTGCTGCAACCCAGGAGGTAAGAAACTGAAGAACAGCGGCACAAAGAAGACAGGACTGGCAGATATCATTACAGGAGGCCCTAACTCCTCCTGGGTTGTAACGCCATTAAATAATAATACGATTTTGGTGACAGTTCGTAAAGGCACCAGTGCAATGTAGACATACATCCTTGCTTTCAAGAATAAAGGATATATAGCCAATAACACGTAGGCCTTGCTGAACTGTGGAGTATCGTGAGCAGAAACCAAACTGGTATGGACGGGTATTAGTAGGATTAGCTTGTGAAGGATTAGCTTCCGAAAAAAAATTAAAGGATCGACAACAAGCTTATTGGTCTCAATCATCAACTGGTAGGGATCGTTTTTTATTTTGACTTCTATAATCATATGAAATAAAAAGGTTGTCCCGGAAGTACAGGCATTTATAGGAGTGATAGCAGACCTCAAGATCTTCAAAAAAGTGTATATAAACATTCGTCTAATTTTCGGCAGAAAAGTAGGAAATTTAAGTTTTATGTTTTTTTTTAAGTGTCTTTTTTTGTTGAATAGGAAGCGATAACGATAGGGATGTTTACTTTAAGTAATTAGCTATTTCTTCACTGTAAACTAGACATAAATCAACTTCTAACGAAATCAGAGTTTATCATAGTTAAAACCATTCAAAAAGGACATTTGAGCTGTTAAATTAAATT